CTAACCCACTGGTGCCGACATCAATTTTTGAAATGAAATTGATCAAAATTATATAGCAAAATTATCACCATCTCATTCTTAACTACTCATGAACTCATTAATGGTATTTAAACGTAACAGTTATGCACGTGCATCTTGTACATGTTTAGAGTGAAAAACAATGGAAAAGTGTTCTGTCTACATCAAAATAAACAGTTTAAATACAGGGAGTTCAAGAATGAGTAGTTAAGAATGAAGTAATAATAATGTGCCCCTCCAAGTAAAGTGATGACTAGGGCCAGACAGAATCTGCTGACTTTTTTTTGCTATTTCTATGTTTTTATTTAACGTATACAATGCAAATCCATTAAGATCCACTTATTTAGTAAACAAAGCAAGTCTCTCATATAATATATCTACTAAAAGACAGAAATATTACTTTACAAACTGTATTGTGAATAAATCATATGAACATTTTTATATTAGTCATAAATATTACTTGAATTAATTTAAAAGCTGAATACATATAAATGTGCACACATTTACACAAGTAAATAAATAGACTTGATGGGCAAAAAATCTGCGGAATTCTGAGCATGCATCATGTGGGTCTAGAGATGACTTAAAGATACAATAACAGGTTATGCGTTCATGTTGGTTACATTTAGCGTAAACTAAAGTGTTAAGCAGTGTATTAGCAAGATATTAAGATTATTCACACTTGAACTCATGTTGTAGTTAAAGTTTGTTCGTCATTATAACATGCCTTAACACTAAAAGGCTGCATAATATTGGAAAAACGTGACATTGTCGTATTTTTTTTCTCTGCGATATATATTCCAATATAAAGACGACTTAAATTGCTCTATTTGGTAAGTCGTTACTTTAAATTGATTGGAATGATTTTGTAGGGGAGTGAAATATAAATATATGTTTAATGTAATTTATTATATAAATACAATAAACAAAGAATAGCCGTAAATAAACAGAATGAAACACAATGGAGCAAATATTACAGTGTAATAAATACATACTTTATGGCCTAGATCTCAAACTGGATTCCTGGAGGGCCGCAGCTCTGCACAGTTTTAATCCAACCCTGATCAAACACAGCTGATCCAACTCAACTCATCAAGACTACTAGAGACTATTAAGCAGGTGTGAGTTGGAGGTGGTTGGAGCTAAACAATGCAGAGCTGCGGCTCTCTAGGAATTGAGTTTGAGACCAGTGCTTCATGGTTTTATGAGGTGAGTCTAACAGTATTTGGGTACAGAAAAGCAATATTCAAATGCAAAATAACACTGCATGGTCTTCATCAATTTAATAATTGAATAAAATTAATCTTTAATAAATGTATGCGCTACTAAAATGCTCACATAGTCACAGGCCGCAAAACAAGTGCAGATTATTAACTTTCACTCTATTATGCTTCAGTTCTGAATTGTCTCCACAAATCTCATGTGTTTTTACTTCTGTTTTCTGGTCAACTATTCAACTCAACGTTGCATATCCTGTGATGTGACTATTACGGATGTACACATTGCGAAATCCTCAAATGATATATTGTGCAGCCCTACTTAACACTTCATTAATAAAGTAACATTTAATTTACATACTTCATTATTGTTCATGTAGTGTTATTGAAAAGTGTTACATTTATATTTATGGGAGAATGTTGCCATCCTGTGGACAACAAAAACAGCTACTGTAGTATGTTTAGTTCCCACACAGCCTCCAACCACGTCATGATGACATATATGCAAATTTGAGTAACTGTACACATCATGCATATCAATGATCGTGCTGCTGGCTTTGGTGCTCCACTGAACCCGGTCATGAGAGATTGGAGAAGCTTATGTTACTCATGGGAAACAGGTCACTGAGTAATGACCCAGAGGTCAGAAATAAGGAAGTGTATTTTCTCGCTAGGTTTTCCTCTCCCCCTCTCTCTTATTCACAGAAAGTTTCTCATATATAATAGTAGCTTCCAAAAAGAGGCATTTTTAGGAACGTCATCTTTGATAATGATATGCCTCATGCAGTGAGTGTTTGTAATTCCAATTCCCTATTCACTGACTACTACTATTAAAAAGGGTCCCAAAAGGTTTTTTTTCCAGTAATGCATAAAATAATCATTTTGGGTTCCCCAAAAATATTTTCAGTGAACAATTCTGTACACTAAAATAGTCTATAATCTAAATAATTATTTTTATATAAAGAAACTTTTGAGGAATTTATAAAGGGTCACGAAACAGAAAAACACATTTTTAAATGTTGACAGTGATATATGTGCCCCACATTGCTAAAAACACTATTAAGACATGTATTCCACTAAAAAGTGAAAATTGTTTGTATTAGTGTTAGTTTCAGCAAAGTCGTTCTTCTGGTTTAAAAAGAAATTTTGAAGCAACTTCACGGCCATGAGATTATTGTGTAAATTTCAGCATGAAGATTAGCTGTCTGTACTGGACGGTACAAAGTGATATCATTGAGTTTTCAGCGTATCTGTTCAACATCTGTTTTGAACCAATCAGCGTGCTTTATTGTGAACAAGATGTGCATGATATAGCTTTAAAGTCGCTTCTTACCTGTTACAGTGTTCAGAGAGACGCCACGTTAAGTTGCCAACCGTACTTCAAACAAGTAGAAGAGGAAGAATTGTTAGAACACATGGGTCGTCAGTGTTGCGTTTATAAATGTGCCTCAATGAAGGTTGTGTTTCCATTTTCCCATGATTAGAGCACAGCTTGTGTGTGGACTCACATGTGTGGATTATAGTGGTCTGCTAACACGCAACAAAAATATGTTTGTAAGGAACATTTTTTACCCGAGAGCTTTTCAAATCTGGAAATGGTGAAATCCGGATTTGCCGCTCATCTCCTATTAAAAAAAAAAAAGAGGCAGAAACAGTTTCATGATGATTGTCCGGTCTCTACAGATTTGGTAGGTGTGCGATCAGTGTTCTTTGTTTATGTTTATTCAGATGGCAAAGTTAATTAGTATCATCAGCAGTACTCTTTCAGTTTTTAAAGACATACCTTAGTCAAAATTATTTAGTTACTAAGTTGACAGTACATTAGTATCACTACAATATTATGGACTAAAATATCCTCCACTTTCACAAAGCTCTCAGATCCACTGTCAATGCTGCTCTCCGAATTACTGTCTATAGCTTAGTTTATACTTCTGCGTCAAGTGATCGGCGTGACCTACAGCGCATGCAATGCACGTAGCCATGGATTTATACATGTTACGCGTTGTTTGTGTTGCTCTGCAACGACACTTCCGAAACGCTAGCTGGCAGTGGGTGTTTATGTTCCTCTGTGTCCAGTTTCTTTACTGGTGTTTTGTTTATTCTTAATGCTACATTAATGTACAAGCGGCTTAAACTCTCTTATTTTGAGGCAGGAATTGGCAGGTGTGCAACAACTTTAATTATAAAGTAAACACAAAACAACAGTTTCCATCTAGAGCTCCTTCACAGGACTTCACACTGGTAAACAGTCGCTATATCGGGCCCTCATGGCAACCAATCATAGAGCTTGCGCTACACATTGTAACATTTTTTGAGACCTGCGCATCAGCGTCACAATGGCAAGGGCTATGCAACCACATGCTGGAGCAAACGCAGAAGTATAATTTAGCTTTATCTCCCCTGCTACTGTGTTTGTGTTGCCGCTGTGAAAATCAACCTGTGCACGTAATGAAACTCCCTTTTCTTGCAAACTCTTAGCCTCTTTCGACCACTCGACACTCCCACTTAAACAAAGCTGGACTCACCCACTTTCCTGACTTTTTCCAAATGGTGTGAAAACACCCTGCTGAGACAGAGGGGGTTCATGGCCCTTTAAGGTTGTAGACTGCAGATTTGTGTTAAACAGATTTACTTACATATAAACCTAACCTATGTATTTTTCTCTGCTCTGCTATTGAATTAGCCTACAAGCACAGTAAAATGCACAGCCTCTGAAACGGCTTCCAGTTGAATTTGTGAACTGACCGGCATTTGACATATCAAACATGAAATATTCATTGTTAACCAGTGTTTGTGCTTTTCAGCAGAAAAATCACGCAATAATCAATAACAAATACAAGCAGATTTTAACTTTTGAGACTAATATAACTTATAATGTGTGTTCCTTTCTATAATTAGGCTCAATGTTTAACATTTAGTTCATTTTGAGCACGTGTTTTCTGTATACAGTATGTAGCAGAAATGTTGCAAATGTAATGGTTTAGGTGTTTATTACTATAACTTTACCCAAACATGTGGAAGATGCCTGTAGTTGTGTGCTAACTTAGCTGTGGACAAAACAATCCCACACACAATTCCGTCTCAATTAAAATCTACATTTAAGCAGTATTACTTTATTTTAACGTGGGAAAATTATTATGTAGTTAATACCTTAAAACCAGAAAGGCTGTCTTTTGGTATTTGATGATGATAGCGCTGCGCTCTTGTCCATAGCTCTTCGTTGCAGAGAAGTAAACAATCAATGATAAGTTCAGCTCTCAGCGGCAGCGCCATCTGATGGTGAAATTAATCACAATTAACAAGCAAATAGTATTGTGTTTGTTAGGCTTTTTGTGGTGTATTAACGTAATGTTTTAAAGGTACTGTTAAACGAGGACAATTCCGGGGACAGATTCGTGGACACAACACCAAACACTTAGTTGTTCCACTTATAGGCAGGTAAGCTATGAAACATGACGGTGTGTATATGCTGTCCGAATATTTAAATGTATATATTAATTATTTAAATATATTATAAATAGCCTATATTTAAAAATCAGAGGGGAGAAACAGTTGTAGAGTATAGCAATGGTAAAGAATAAATAAATGAAGAGGGAAGAAGCATTGTTGAATGTCGGGGTGTGGTGTCTGATTACCTCACCCACTCCTTCCCACATTCTCATTGCAAGCTGTAGCCTGCAGGTTAGAAAAAAGCATTCTCCTAAAATCATTTCAGAGGGAAACATGGAGAAATTGGTATGTTGAAATATTAGGGAGGAGAAAGGATGGGGCGGAGAAAACTTGAACATGAGACCTCAGAAAACTGGCAGTTTAGTGACAGAAACAAGCATTTACAAGAATTAGTGTGTTTGATTATTGTAGTGTATATGGAATCTGATAGCCTGAAATCACAGAAAAATATAAAGAGCTTAAGCATAAGGTTTGTGAACATCTATTCGGGAAACATAAGAAACAAACAGGGAGACCAACTTGGAGATCACATAACCTAACCAGGTCCATCTGGTCACTTCACAGGGAACCAGTTCAGTTATTTGGATCTAATCAAGTCTTTAGGTGAGTTATATAACTTTTTAAAATTATTTTAATTAATGGAGGAGTAGAAATGCATTACAGTCCTTTCCCTTATTTCTTATATAAACTGCCCATTTATCAATCTTCAGTTTGTCCTTTGTGGCCACTTTCTGTTGATGCAACACTGTCTAGTTTCTTAATGGCACAGATCACAGAGGTCACCAGTGTGCGTAATCAGTTTACTGTAGTGGAGGGATTGTAAACTGGACAATCTTATAATTTTAGCCTTACAGTATTGATAGGTTCTTGACAATCTAAGACTTGTTTAATAAGTTATTTCAATTTAATTTTTAATGTGCTGTTTTCTTGACAGTTGCTGTGGCAAATTAAGATAGTATAAAATAAAACGGTTGGTTTTGAGTGTGTGGATGTGATTTTCAGTGGATATTACAGCTTTTGAGTGACATTCCTAGTTGATAAGCTCAAGATCATGTTTCAAGTTGTAGCACGTTTTTTTTTATTCATGGAAGATTATTGCAGTGTTTATGTGGTTGCTGAGAGCCCATTCTTGATGCTTTATTTGCCCTCTGAAGAGAGAATTATAAGAGAAAAAGCACAATAATTCATAATATGCTCTCTCTATTGGAAACCTGATAAAATATAATAGATTTCCTATCAGAGTAATTTTTTTCCATTTATGTCCGGTTTATGTTTATGTCCTAATAATGATTTCTTAAAAAACAAATTTACAAATGTATAAAAAAATCTAAGTTGCTCAAAAAATCTGATATTTGTATTAGTCTCACAAGAAAGTACTATATACTCACATTTAATGTGTAATTATTAGTGAAATATACAATCAAGTAAAAAATTACAACTATGAAAATTAAGAATTTTGTCATTTTTAAGTAAAAAAAAACTTTTGAGTCTTTGTCTTTTTTAAGATTTTGTTTAGGTTAATTTTTATTTGTAATATTTATTTGTAATGTATTTTGCATGTTCTTGGGAAAAAAGACCTTTTGCCCTAGATAATTATAAAGATTACCTATATATTTTTTTAAATCACTGTAAAAACTAAATCATTTATGTGTTCATGTTTTATGAGTTTTTGGACAGTCTAGGTCAGGGGTGTCCAAACGTTTTTTCAATCAAACCAAATTTGATTGAGGGCAAAGGGCTGAAGATATGTATATCTAACTGTAAGTTGCCTTGGGTCATTTATTATTATTACTTCAAAATAAAAAGAAAACATTACTTTAATCATATTAACTACTGAATAATATATTATTTTACATTTTTTAATTGCCCTATTATAATTAAAACTTATTTTATAGCTTAACAGCAAAATAAACCAATAAAAGGTTTTGTTAAATTACAAATACCAATGTAATGAATTAACCCCAACCCTTCCCAAAATTCTCTCTCTTCTAGGATGGGATGGTGGGCCAAATCAAAGATTACCATGGGCCAACTTTGGCCCCTAGCCCTAGTTTGGGCATCTCTGGTTTAGACGAGACTTTTGTTGAATTGATGGATATTGTTGTTTGTTTATTTATTGTATTTTTTTTTCTTAAGTGTATTAAGATGTTTTTGAGTTCATTTATATTTTAATATGATTGTGTTTTTTGTTTAAAAATGTGGGGTTTTTAGTTAAACTATTGTCTTAACCCATAAGACAGTGTTTGAAACGGCAAAGTAAAAAAAAAATCTTGAAATAACAAAAATTACAAAGAAACATTTTGCAAGAAAGTACTACTTTAGTTGTTATATATTTATAAAATTATCCTGTTTAAGTGTTTCTTAGTAATTATAGGGTAATTTATTAACAAGTGAATACTAATAACTAAATGCTTTAAATATGAGGCAGCACGGTGGCTCAGTGGTTAGCACTGTCGCCCCACAGCAAGAAGGTTGCTGGTTTTGGTCCCGGCTAGATCAGTTGGCGTTTCTCTGTGAAGTCCTCAACAGTCTGCAGACATGCGGTTTAGGTGAATTACCAATTAATTCATTTTCTTGTCGGCTTAGTCTCTTTATTAATCCGGGGTCGCCACAGCGGAATGAACTGCAACTTATCCAGCATATTTTTACGCAGCGGATGCCCTTCCATTTCAGGGAAAGTAGGTGAATTAAAAAAAGTAAATTGGCTGTAGTGTGTGAGTGTTTGTGTGAATGAGCGTGTATGGGTTTATTCCGCTGTGGCAAGCTCTGAAATAGAGACTAAGCTAAAGGTAAATGAATGAATGCATGTTTTAAATATATGATAAATTTATAATTTTTCAATGATGTTTATTATTCAGAGAACATTAAAAACATTTTTTTCAATTACAATGTATTACGTTCTGTACATTCTCTGACTTATGTTCAAGTTAGCCAGTTCCTTTGAAAGAGATCTGGTGTCCAAATGTGAATAAAAGTATCAGTAGTGAAGTGAATGAGACATGTTAAAAGTTCCAGAGGAATAGTCTCTCTAATAATCGAATGCTTTCCTTTTATGAAAGGGGGTTTATCGCTGATCCACGACATTAATACGTTTTTCTTGGCAGCAAAATGTTAAAGCCAGAACAACGATTGTTTATGCTTGTTGCTAATAAACTTGCAAGGAAAACCCAGGAGGAGTGACAGATCCTAGACCAGATCTACGATATTCTTTAAATGAGTTACAACTCTGGCTTGTTCTGGATCACATATGACACCCCAATAATATTTTGAAATAATTTTAGACAGCTAATAATTTTTCTATTTATTGAATGAACAAATAAATAAACAAAATAACATTGCTTCCTGTTGTCCCACAGTTCTTTCGACCCCTTCCAAATGGCATTGGAAAATGGCAGCTTCTCCATGGAGAACATAACAACCGCCAGTCCCAAACTCAAGAGCGTTGTTGATAACAGTACCTCTGCCACCTTTGGGGCCCTGATCCTCAGCATCGCCATCCTCCTAGGCATTCCTGGCAACCTGTTCATCATCTGGAGTATCTTGGCTCGTGCTCGAAAGCGCTCTGTCACCACCCTGCTTATCCTCAACCTGGCGTTTGCCGACGGTTGCCTGATGTTCCTTACCATCTTCTTCATAATATACCTGGCCAAGCAGAACTGGATCTTTGGAGAAGTCTTGTGCAAGCTGCTCTTCTACTTGTGCAACACAAACATGTACGCGTCTATTATGATCATTACACTGATGAGTTTACACAGACTGGTGGCAGTGATGTGGCCCTCATATCTGAGCGTCTGTACTCGCAGACTGACCGTTTTATTGGTGCTCGGAGGCCTGTGGGTCGCCGTCTTTCTTTTGGCAATGCCTGTTTTGATGTTTAGGGCTGAAAAAACTATTGGGAATAAACGGATAGTGTGTGAAACTCATCACAATCGTACAGAGCAGGTGAGTGCTTACTGGTATTATTCATTGAATGCTTGATTGTGATTGGGTGATCTGTTTTACACAACAACACCGTTCATCACACCTTCCAGATATTTATTCATTCATTTACTTTTCGGCTTAGTGCCGATATTAATCTGGGGTCGCCACAGCGGAATGAACCACCAACTTATCCAGCATATGTTTTACGCAGCCGATGCCCTTCCAATTGCAATCAATCACTGGGAAACATCCATACACACTCATTCACGCACATACACTTGGACAATTTAGCCTTCCCAGTTCACCTATACCACATGTCTTTGGACGTGTGGGGGAAACCAGAGCACTCCACGCAAACACGGGGAGAACATGCACACAGAAATACCAACTGACCCAGCCAAGGCTTAAACCAGTGACCTTCTTGCTTTGAGGCGAACATGCTACCCACTGCGCCACCGTGCAGCCCACCTTCCAGATATGAACTACAAATTTTTAGTAGATTATGGTTTATTCATTTAGTTTTTTTATATTTATTTGTAATATTTAAGTTATCGGTGTAACAGTTTTATTATTACAAAAAGAAAACAAACAGATTTATAATAATTGATTAGGTAATGGAGTAGCTGTAATGCAGGGGTTTTCAAAGTGTGAGGCGCGCCTCCCCTGGGGGGCGCCAGAGCATGTCAGGGGAGGCGCGGGAAAAAATATTATATAATAAAAATATAATTATTAAGTTTAATTATTATATATATTTCTTATTATTTTTAAACGTTTTAATTAAACAAAGCTAAAAAAAATAATATGTCATAAATGAGAAAACCTTTTTTAACCAGAAGGCCATAGCTGTGAATTCGCTTCTGTTTGGCAAGCCCGCCAATACAAGTATATGCCTGCTAATTTACAGTCTATGCTGCTAATACAATGGATCGGTTTCTGAGACCCCCTGATTCAAAGCCTTCAAGTTCAGGGCTTAAACTTAAAAGACGACGATATGATGATCAGAAATTCAGTTTAGGATTTACGTGGACAGGACCAGCTGATGAACCACGACCTTTATGTGTGGTTTGTCAAGATATTTTGGCTAATGACAGCACGAGACCCGCTAAACTTCGGCGACACCTTGAATCCAAGCATGATGAGGTAGCAGGAAAACCTCCAGAATTGTGTGTGTATGTGTATGTGTGTGTGTGTGTGTGTGCGTATGTGTTTGGGATGAGGGGGGCTCCAATGAATAAGTTGTGTCAAAAGGGAGGCCCACTGTCTTAGACTTTGAAAAACCCTGCTGTAATGTGATGTGTGTGGGACGCTGACAGGGAAGTGTTGATCCAAATGAAGGGTTTATTAGGAGGACAGTCAGACAAGCAACGGTCAACACAGGGGCAAACAGATGTATACAGGGAATCCAGAGTCATGGTCAAAAAACAGGCAGATGGTCAAAAGGCAGGCAGCAGACAACATAAACAAACAAACCGAGGGGCAAAACACGGCAAGGGAAGGGAAATGCGTCGTAATGTCACTGTACAGTTAAACAAGTCTCATCACTGATGTATGTGTGTGTATGTATGTATGTATGTATGTGTGTGTGTGTGTGCGTGCTGTTTTTAAAGTCCATAATGAGTCCTTGAAAATCCTCTGGCTGTTTGTATGTGTGTGCGCAATCACCTGATTCTGGAAAAGGTGTGTGAGCACTGCATGACTGAACTTGAAGTCCATATATTGGCGAATTTGTAGTTCCGTATCGATCTGCGTGTTTAACAGCAATCTGCAAAGCTAGTGACAGTAGCTTATATGATTACACTTTGAATACTATTTTAGACATATTTTGGGAGGATATTTGGTCATTTATTGTTATTAATGGGATATTGTTATTTATATTGCACATATTGCAATATTTCGACATTAAAGCAGCTTATAAATACAAAATGATACAAAAATAAAAATGTAAATAAATAAAAGGGGATAACTTTACAGCAATTTGACTGCAAGTTAGGGTTAGGTTGATTACAGGTGTTTTCCTTGATCCTAGTAGATTCCTAATTGTCAGTGGGCAGAGCCAGTATTGTGATCATGTTAACATTAAACTGTTATCCTTAAAATCTTATAGATTATATAAAGGTGCACGGGAAGACTCAAAGCCAGCATTGTTATCAGAATTGTTGTGCCCAAGTCTATCTAAAGCAGGGGTTCCCAAACTTCTTCGTATGTAGGGGCCAAAACCCAAATATCAATATTGAGAGCCGTGGGCCAAAGTCAAATCGACTTTACTAACTTTATGTATTACATTAAAGTTGCCACTGGTAATTTCCTTATTTATTTAATAAAATTTCAAAATAAATAGAAAACATTACTTCAAATCATATGAACTAATGTAGTATAACCTTTTAAATGATAACTTATTGCAATAAAAACATGAACAATCACATTCACAACAATGGAGTTCATAGCAGAATCTGCCAACTTGATTTGCTCACTAAAGTCTCTGCAATGTTGGGTGACAGTATGTACATTTAAACAAAATCTGATTAATTTACACAATTTAATTGAAACAATCAATTTCAGTTAGCTTTTAACAATAAATAAATCAATCAATCAAACAAACAAACAAAATCATTCTCCCTCTCTTCTCAGATGGAATGGTGAGACGAATCAAAGGTTACCATGGGCCAACTTTGGTCTGCGGGCCCTAGTTTAGGTATCTCTACTCTAAAGTCAGTAGGGGACAGTTAACAATTGTATTGATTTGTTCATTCTACTTCAGGCCATGCAAAATGTAGTTTTTTCAAGTATAAGTAAAACATTTTTGGTTGAAAACGTCCATTTTGATTAGTAAGACACAAGCCAACAATTACAGGCTATTGTTAGCATGTTTCCAGAACGGATTAGCATGTTGCTAGCATATTTCCAGTATTATTTAGCATGTTACTAGCATGTTTCCGGTATGAATTAGCTGCATATATAGGCAAAACACATAACAAATAGAAAATTCCTGTGGCTCATGACTATACAGTTGAGGTCTGAAGTAAAACAAGCAGGATGTGGAAGAAACTGAACATTATTTACAATGTTATTACCTTTAAACAATGAGCTGAAGCTTCTTGTGGTTAATACTACTGAAAAAGACACCTCTTAGATTACCTGAAGGTATAAAGCTAATAAAATACACAGCCCTTCACATTTCACAATGTTTATTTTCCAATCATAAATGGCTGACTGCTTTATCTCTCATAAAAGCTATAATTCACGCATGATTTGTCATTTATGAACAGGCGGTATTCCAGTATACCCTTGAGACAATGGTGGGCTTCCTGGTGCCGTATGTGATCATAGTGAGCAGTTATGTGTGTATCCTCCGCCGCCTCAGACAGACCAAGTTCAAGAGGATGATACGAAGCGAGAACCTCATTCAAGCCATTATTGTGACGTTCTGCATTTTTTGGCTTCCTTACCACATCCTTAATGTAGTGCAGGCAAGAATTTGTCATTCAGATCTTTCTGTGATAATCTATGCAATTACCTAAATGTGTGATTTTATTTTGTTACTGTTTTCTGGTCAGGTGATGGCAGCGCTTACACCAGAGGGAATGCCATTAAAAACACAGTGAGTGCTTCAGAATGTTAAACACACTCAATTGGTATTTCTCCCATGCTCAATAATATCACAGTAACCATCTTCTCTATCCTCAGACTAAAAAACATCTGGGAGTCCAGCCGTGCTGTTACGTCTACTCTGGCATTTATCAGTAGTTGTGCCAATCCTGTCCTATATGCATTTGCTGGACGCTCATACATTAAAGCTGATGGCCTGGCGTTCATGGCCAGACTTTTTGAGGGAACCGTTCTGGACTACAGTGCTCGGAAAAACCAACAGACTAGGGATGTCATCAGGCTATAAAACTCAAGGAGACACATAGGAATCCATCTTGGACAATAAGTTATTCTGGATATTTATATTGGAAAATCTTTTTGTATTGTGACTGAACAAATAGAAGGCAGCGTAAAGACATGGTCGTGTTGAAAATAACACACTTTAATTTATTTACTTTATGATCACTAAAAAAAACTGTTCAATAGAGTGAGCATAGTGAATGTTTGTAGTGTGGTATAAATGCAACCCAGAAATACTAGCTTTGCCATTTGATCACATGATCAGTGTGGGGTTTCATGATTTTACTGGTATTTACAAATCATCACCTTTATATGTGCATCAGAAAGAAGGTGTCCAGCAGGTTGAGGAATATAGTGAATTCAGATGTTCTTCAGGTAGTTCTGTAAGTTAATACACAGCCCAGACTGATTTTTAAAGCAGTAGTCAACATTTGAACTGGATCAAAACAACTTAAAAGAATGGGAGTCCTTTAACAGTTAAAAATAACTTTGATTAGGGTTACACAATATATTGTTTCAGCATCAATATTTCAATGTGTGCATCCACAATAATCACATCGCATAGATGTGTAACGCCGAGTTGACTTTGCAGTGTTTTTTTTTTTTTTTTTTACATTTACATATACAAAACCATAATGCATAAATGCTGTTTATTTCACTTTTATCTTCGCTTTGTAGCATTTATCTATGCTTGTAGTTTATTACATCGTATGCATGATTCACTCCCCTACAGAATCATCCCAGTCAATCAAAATGAATGCGTTTGGTAACACTTTGGACCAATTCTCAATACTAATTAGTTACTTGCATGTTTATTGATATATTGGCTGCTTATTAGCACTTTTTTAGGGGTTTTCACCTTTATTGTAATAGGACAATGGAGATTTAGAGACAGGAAAGTATAGGGAGCAGAGATGGGGTAAGGGTCAGCAAAGGACCTTAAGCCGGAAATCGAACTCGGATCGCCATGAACACCTCGGTGCCATGTGTGTGTCGACGCACTAACTATAAGGCTATTGGCCAAAGTTATTAACACTTTAGGCACATATTTTGCATGACCTTATTCTACATCCATAATCCCACACAATACCTAAACTACATTAATATTAAAGAAGCCAATTGGGAGTTTGATGCAAAAGTCATAATGGTTTGCTAATAGTGAGAATTTAACTTTAAAAAAGTGAATAAATTCTTTACAAAGTGCCATTCAATAATTTGCTGGAACTATATAGATGCAGAATATACCAATATATACATTTTAGAAACAAAATATTGCAATTTCAGATTTGTCTAATATCGTGCAGCCCTAACTTTGATGGAAGGTTGAGACTCATTTCAAAATGCTGACTGATGTTACTCCCCCGAAATTGAAGTGTGACTTATTCAACCTTCATTTGTATCAGACCTGAGTTTATTTCTTGAACACATGATATTCTGAAGAACGTTGCAAACCAGTAGACATGAACTTCTATGGTTTTAACCTCAACAATAGACAAGCAGCTATTTCAGGTTTATAAAGGTTTGGAACCACAGGAAACAAGTAAACGTTTGTAAACTTCCACAAATGTTTGAATTAACTTGTGTATATGGCAGCTTCTATTAATAAAAAAAAGCAACATGATGAACACTGCATAATTTCTTATTTAAACCTGCTGGGAAAAAAAAAAATCTGTACATATTTATTAAACAATATTCAAGACTTCTAGTTCTCAGGGGAACACTGGAACACTGAAACTTACATAAAGTTCCTTAAAGGATGTTGGAGAAAGTTATTTTTAAATATTGCATTACAATTTTGATTACTTTAAGTTGAAAGCAATGTTTGCTACTTCTGCAATGTCTTAGTTCAGTAAAATCACTGTCCATTGAGAATCCTCTTTTCTTTGATGTGTTCAAAATAATGAAAATACTTCCATCACAGAAATATAAGGCTTTGCCATATTGGATTTTGTCAGCTCTAACAGGGAGCAAATTCTCAATGAGATTCCAGGAATTTAAAAAAAAAAAAAAAAAAAAAAACTTAAATTTAAAGTAACTAGTTAGCAACTTAATTACTTTTTAAAATGCATCACTTTAATTAGAAGTAACTCTACGCAACTCTCGTTACTTGTGATGTTACCACCAACACTGATCCTAAATAAACGTTTTTGCAAGCAAATTAAAATCCACAATTTATAAAAATGAAGACCATGAAATGAATCGAATCAATGTACATTTATTGAAGCGGTTTCAAATCATTTGTGACAATCAGCTTACATTTGTCTTCCAAGCAGAGACCAAGAAAAAAAATGCAACAAATGGACGAGTCTACACAATTGTGATTCAAGTTAGTTTAATAAAACTTCGTTATTCAGTAGTAAAATGTGAATATGGCAAGTCAAATAACCAATATTATTAGAAACTTACTACTTAAAAAAATTAAATAAATTCAACAAATAAAGTTTACCACAAACTAATACACGATTAATAAAAAAATAAATACTTTTTTTGTAAAAAAAAAAAAAAAAAGATCCATTCAATACAAAACCTCTCATAATACACATGTTCCTGCAGAATTATGAAGGCTAAAACGCTTTTTAAAAACATTAAAGCTGGTTTTACGTTCATTTAGACTTTTAGTATATTTTCAGAAAAATTTACAAATTCTAGATGGGGAAAACATTAGCAGGCAATGACTATCAAAGTACACGTTCAGTCAATCAAATGTTGACTTAATCATTTGCATGCGATTTAAGACCAATTATTAAAAGTAGCTTGAAAAAAAAAAAAAAAAAAAAAAAAGTCAGGTTGTCAGTTAAAAAAACGAATGTGCTAATATAAAACCAACTATAGCTCAATTTTTAGAAACAACCTGACCACATTACTGGCGAACAGAAACACGAACAAGCAGTCCAAATGCACGAGGAAACACGTGACTTCAGCTCACCTCCATTTGCAAAACGTGGGTTCCTGTAAAGAAGATACACAAACATAGGAAATTAGGGAAATGTTGCGAGAAAGAAAACCTAAAACATAGGCTTTATTCCGCTGCTTCAACCAGTCAGTGCAGTAGGGCTGTAATCATTAGACTTCAGGTGAAACACGGACTGCGAAATCATCATGTCTGGTTTGAGCAGAGGCAGTTCGGGCTAACGTTAAGTTAAATCTTTACAGCAAAGATACAGACTCGGGCATCTGGATGTAGTTAGAAGCAGATGCACCTGCCAATTTAAATTTTCGTTAAAACGCGTTTCAGTATCGAGTAGTAATGTGAATAAACAGATAAACTTACCGAAAAATATCTGGTGCGTCCATTTCACACTGGTATGACTGAAAACACCCTTTAGTTAGAGCCTACATGCGTTTACCGAAGCGGGAAGATTATGTGGAAGCTTGATGGCAAGTAAAAAAAACTGCGGTAAACAAACAAAAAAGGTGATCCACGTCCTTTAAACGCTTTAAGTTGGAATGTATATCTCAACACTAACAAGTTATTAAAATAAATATTAAAACAAAAACGTGGATGCAAAGAAAAAAAATATATATTTTTATCACTAGGCTACTTGAAAACGTTACAACGCCGTTGAGCGTTACGAGCAGAAAGGATGTAAGAGCGGCATGGGGCCGTATTTATCTACTAATAAACCACGTGTTTCTACAGGGAAAAACGCTTCCGGTTGCTGCACCCACATTTATTAGCATTATTATTAACTGGTTAAGACTCGTTTAATTATGACTTGATGTGAATTATAGAAAAGCTTTTGATATTATATGATATTGATATTATAGTTTAAAAAACGTCAAAATACGTATTACGTTTTAAATGCTTTTTTTGTTAAAATATTAATGAAATTAATAAATTATTGTTGTATTGAAAGAGAATTTAAAACGACGTGTGTTAATAGAGTATGTATAGCTTATTAGATCATAATTAAAATATTACATTCGCAGTTGGTAACGTTATGTAATAATGTACATAATGTAATGTTTTCTGTAGAAATCTGACCTGCTGCCCTTCTCAAGATGGCTACGGTTACGCTCTGGTTTATGGAGCTCACGTGGTGAACATGTGACATTCTCATTGGTTTAACCTTCGCACGCAGGAACATGTAAAAGAAGTGGATTTCTGCAAGTTGTCGGGGTTTAAACGGACAAACAATGAGAGTTGTAATAGGTACATCATTTGTATTTCTTTTCGCGTTATTGTTGCATGACAGCGTAACATATACATCTCATACTGAATGTCAGTGTGTGTAATACTAGCCTCTTTGAATATAATACAGATCTGCTACATTAAAGCATATTATTATTTTAAATATCTTGTCACCCTCTTTGATTGTATGTGCTATTGTTACTATCATATGGCTGGGTCCTTATTCGTTACTGGATAAATACGAGCTTAGTTTTGATTTTTAGGTAATGTTTTGTAAGTGTTCTAGCAGCGCATGCGCGTTTAAAGAACACATGCGCGGGCTGCAATAAATGTAAAATTAATGATTTTTTTTTATTTACACTTTTCACTTTCACTAGGTGGAGGCACGGGGTTTGTGGGACGTGAACTGACACGTTTGTTAAAAAGCAAAGGTCATGAAATTACACTTATATCCAGGCAACCCGGTCCAGGAAAAATAACATGGGTAAGACCTAACTTGATATGCATTAAAGTTTACCGATGCAAACAAATGTATCAATTCTAAGCAACAAAGTAAGGTTGATACATTACATAGTAGTAACATAGTAATAATAATGAATGGTCTTGTATGTCAGATTTGTTCACTTATTGTAATCTGAATCATATACTGAAAACAATGATTAATATAATAAATCAGTTTGTTTCTCATTTGTTACATTTATTTGATAACATGTTTACAATTGGTTTAAATGTAACTTATCTTTCAAATTAAGCATATTTTAAAAACTAAACCTTTTTGTATTTTTTTTTATTTTTTTAAATTATTCAATTATTTTAATAATTTTTTGCTTCTTTGTTTCTTTTGTACTAATGCATTTATATATGGTATTATGCATTGGCCACGATAGCTGCAATTTAAGAAAACGCATGCAATTACAAAAACACCAGCAGATTAACAAGCAATCTTAATCAGTTTGACAGCACGTGTGTTGCAAATTCTCACAACACAAGCAACTGAAGAAACGTGCTGCAGTTACTAAACGCACTGCATACTATTAAAACACAGTTTCACATGTAATGATCAGTTTATTTATGCTAATAATTTACAAAAGACAATGGAATCATGTAATCAGAAAATAAAAAAGAATAAATAAGAAAGGTATGATAAAATGTCACCTAATGACTGTGCAATACAAATTTTTTTAGAGAGGGGGGGGTAAATGTAAAAATGGAATCAAACATAATATGTCAAAGATGGCAAAAGGGTAAATATGTCTCATGTAAAAGGAAGAGATAAGTAAAAGATGAAATAAGTTAAGGTAATAGACGAATGATGTGTGTGGAAATGGGCTGGGAAAATAATAAGCTTGTGCTTCATCCTGCTTTATTTCGGCCATGTTGTAATGTATTTTTTGTTAGAGAATTTTTATGTATAATTTATCTGTTTGAAACAAACAAATAAAAAAAATAAAAATAAAAAAACCTTACCTTTAAAAGACCACCAACAACTTCACTGAGCAACAGTCACGGCATAATAACACATCCATATTTTAGCAAGGTCTGTCAGGTTTTTGCGTCCCCTTGAAAGATTTCTGTTGTGTTACGTGGATATTGACAAAATGCAGCGTGTTTCTTCAGTTGTTTGTGTTGTGAGAATTTGCAACACATGTGCTGTCAAACTGATGAAGATTGTTTCTTAATTTGCTGGTGTTTTTGTAATTGCGTGTGTTTTCTCAAATTGCAGCACCTTAAGCTCTCTCAGCCACCGTAGAATTAAGCTTTTTTGTTTATTACTTTTTTGATCTAGTGAAAGTATTAATTATTTGAAGGGTTAGCAATTCAAAAAATGTTTACACAAAGGCTCTTGCGCAGTACATGACATTAATATTGCCAACTTCTTTAGTTTTTCCGGAATAGATTTTTCCAATTAAGCGCTTAATTTATTTTAAATGCATTTTTATTGTATTTATATACAATGCATGATATTTTGATGATTGTCCAAAGCACAGGAATGAGAAATGTGATTGTCTGTTGTTGGTTATCAAAAATTCATTCATGAATTCATTAATTTATTTTCCTTCGGCTTAGTCCTTTTATTCATCAGGGGTCGCCACAGAACCACCTAACATGTTTCATAAAAGTAAAAATAAAACCCAGGTAAAAGTCATTTCTAAACCTGCTTCCCTAAGTTTAAATGTGGAGATTAGAACAACAATAACGAAAGTGTTAAGTAAATTATGATTTTTTAATTTAGATAACTTTGACTCCTTCTTTATTCATGATCACAGAGCGATGTAGAGTCCAGAGGCCTCCCACCGTGTGAGGGTGCTGTAAATCTAGCTGGGGAGAATATTATGAACCCTCTGAGATGGTGAGGAATAATTTTGTTATCATACATCAGTGATGTAAAAATAGTAGAATATTATCACTGATAGAGTCAGCGATGTTTCCTTTAACATGTTTATATTAATATAATTGTTCAATCTTTTGCATTTAACAATCTAGGTGGAATGAGAGTTACAAAAATGATCTGTTCTCCAGCCGAGTAAACACAACCAGAATTCTCACCCATGCCATTGCTGCATCACCTGCTCCACCACAGTCATGGGTTCTCGTCACTGGAGTAGGTAAATAAGAAATGTTATTGCACATAATGCAGAATAATACCTTTAACATCTGTCAGTATTGAGTTTCAAGTCGAGTTGAGCTTTTTAGTCATTCTGCTACATGTGTGGACATACAGTGAGATTAAATGTCGTGTCTCACAGGACCACGGTGCTACATAAATCAACATAATTATAAATATGAAAACAACACTGGATGTAAGAGCTATTCTAAATCTATACATAACTAACATCTGGAACAGTAATCTAAGTATGCTAACTACTAACTACATATATAAATACCTAAATTATACAGACAACCTAAGACAGACTATAGACCTTTTTCTTGGAAAGCAAAATTACCCATTATGCTTTGCGTGTATGCGCAAGGAGAATGCGAAGAACTTCCGGTCGGCAGCTAATGCGTGTAAACAGTCACATTTTGACAGCTTTGAAACGATAGTTTTAATCTATTTTACCTGCTTTTATCCTCTTTGAACTAATACTGTTGTCCATCAGCACCATCTCCTGGACTGATCATTTAAAGAAATGCGATCTAATAGGATGGAAAACAGCTGCTGTGAGGCATTTTCCTTTCGTTGTCAGATGGCATCTTCTGCAGTTTAAATGAAGCCTCGTCATCGCTAAAGTCAACATTTTCTCTTTATTTCAAATATATAACCAGCCCAAACAAATGTAGTTCACCAAAATGTTTGACACACACACGTAGCCTGTACTGTGCCACTGACACACTGATTTAATAACTGTTACAACGTGAAAATATAGGCTAGTGTCATTTCGAAATGACAGAAAAACACAAACCGTGGTGAATACAACACACAAAATAAAACACAAACGGCTCACGATAAGAATGAACAGCAAATCAGCCAGCAGAGTATAAATAACAGACTTTATTGGTCATTTTTGTAAATTGCACAACTTTCATACCTGTTAAGTTTCATGCCAGTACTCTGGTTTGCTCTCTCTCTCTCTCTCTCTCTCTCTCTCTCTCTCTCTCTGTGTGTGTGTTAAAGAGCCACTGAGCTAACAGCTGACAGGCCGGGAACGCACACACACACACTGGTATTTCTGACGGCAGACACGTGAACTAGTAGAACGTTTTTCTCATATTTCTGACGCGCTTGAACCACATGTGACAGATTATAACGGCTTTAACAGACACATTTCTAAGTTGTGTGTCACAAAAACACTTTGTTATCCATTAAAAAACGTTATTGAAACCCATTTTCGGAGCGCAAATTACCAGTTGCACACTCTGTAAACGGAAGTTTTTAATATTCTACCGGAAGACGCTGGTCGCTATGGCGCCCTCCATGCAGCAGCCATGAAAAAGGTCTATACAAGTGCTATACAAGTACATAAGACAGAACAATATTGTGCAATATACTGTGCAAAAGAAAAAAACAAGTGTACAATACAGTGTACATTCACAGGTAAACATTGTTTTTCTTATGGAGACCTTAAGATGTTTAAGTAAAGTGTCTGGTGCATATGGAGAGAGAAGAGTGTTTCTATTCACCTTATTCTTCGCCGACGAGCGGCCGCAGCAATTTGAATCTTTTTGGCTCGAGGCTTCCGGTCTCATTCACTTACATTAATTTTTAGACATTAAAAACGGCTCGTTTCGCTGTTTGGTGTTGCAAACTGATATTTCCTTATTTTATTATTCTACTTGGTCTATATAGTCATGCAAACATTTGTATGTAGAGCAAGCAGTTTGACCGTTTTCTGCCGATTATTATTCCTAGTCATTTCTCCCATAGGCGACTGAATCGGAAGTTCTAAAACAATCGTGAAAACAGGCGCACTTCCACATTTTAGAATAAGGTCAATAGGTGGTTTGTCAGGCCCACTCACCTGTGTGTAGCACACTTCAGAAATGCACAATAGCTGATTTTGTTCAAGTATAATAATCCCATAAACACAAAGTGCTTTCTATTGACAGCGATTTATGTAATTGTGCCTAAATTGTGAGTTTATAAGGAAGATATTTCATCCAGCTTATCTCTGATTTTGTCTTTAGCGTGTTATAAACCTAGTCTTCAAACCCATTACACTGAGGAGAGCAAATGGACTCCGTTTGACTTCCTGTCTGGACTGGTGAAAGAGTGGGAAGGTGCAGGACAACTTCCTGAAGAAAGTGCCAAGAAAACAAGACAAGTGATCGTCAGACCAGGTCAATCTAAACGCATGTCTTGGCAGTGTGAAAAATGTCACCTGAAATGTAACTGATAAAAAAAAACTGCCCTTTCATATAAAGAACGAAAACAATAAACATATAGTTGTAGAAATTCCTTGAAATATAGAAATAACGATAATGACTAAATACAGTATAATGCAGTTGGTATCATTTTCAGAATTTTTTTTTTCCCACTGATGAATGATGCATAATTATAGAGCTTAAGCATTTAATGTGGCAGGTGATAAACTGCATGATGTGAACATTTATACAACTATTGATTTTAGTGTAAATGGGCCTAAAAGGGCCTACTGTCACGTTCGGTGAGGGGAAAAAGGAGCGAGGACTCAGGTGCAGCAAATAATGGGTGTTTATTAAGAATAAAATAAAAACAAAAAGGCAAAACAAACAACCCCGAGGGGGAAAACTCTAATAAAACAAATAAACGAACAAACAAACTTGACTAGACTGGCAGGACAAGACAGGGCTGGACACAACAAGACAGGAAACTATCGACGACGAACTGGCAAAAGACTGAAAACATGAGGGGGATTATAAAGCAAAAAGTAAATTGACACACAGGTGAACATGACAAACTAATATTGAGTAAACAAGGAGGGAGGGACTAGACAATAGACGGGAGAGCGCATGACACAGAGAGACAATACAAGCCATGCGCTCACATAACACAACACAACACTGAAGCACACGACAAAAGCACGTGACCACAATGTAAACACCGAGCCACGTGCTTTGACAAAAGACGCAAGACACGAGCACACGATGAATGAAAACACTCACCGTGCACTCACACACGCAGCGTGCATGCTTCATCCCAGCGCCGACCAAAACCGAAACCAACAAGACTGAGACGCTGGGAATGAAACACCACGCTGCTGACAGACGAAAACACAGACACTAGTACAAGAGCGCAAGCGTCTGACGGACGCAGTGCGTGCGCGGCCACATCAAGCGGCATCGCGCACACTCTGCGTACACCCTTGACGGTGCGCGCGCACACAGAGACAGAAACAGGACCGGACATGGGTAGTGTCAGAGCTCTGCTACCAAAACAAGAATTTACAAAGACCAGAGTGGCAGAACCCTGACACCTACGGCTAATATATTTATTATTTTTATTATTATTATTATTATACACTACTGACATTTTTAGATCAGTAATATTTTCAAAAAATTACACCAAATATGCTATAAAATATATCGAAATGTCCCCACCAATAATTTAATTCACTTTAAAAAAAATCATGCTGTCAATATTAACCTAGATATGCAGAAAGGGTTAAATTACATCAATCCTCGAGTCCAAAGGCCCCAACAACATATGAATATTGTGATTGGCTGTACTTTTCCCTGCTGTCATGTGAGAGGCCACAGCTGCCTTCAGATACAAACATATTTAATAGCAGTTTTGTTGTTTTTTGTCAACAAAATCACATGTTGATGAGCTCTGTTAGTATCTGATAATATCCATATTTTTCCTTCTTCATCTCGAAATACAAAATCATGTACAAACAGGTCGTCGATGAACATTTTTTCAACCCATGCTCATTCTGATTACATACCGCTTTACACATTTCTGGAGAGAGCAAAATACGTCCCAGGAGCTACTTTTTTATTTTTTTGCAGTTTTTGTTATCGCAAATTCACCAGAGGCTGCTGTTGACTGATCGACTGACTAATTCCCCCACCCTCCTCCTTCCCTAAACCTAACCACAGTGTTTTCAAAAACAATCCAGAAAAAGTAAAGCCCCCTAATTTTTACTACGTTTTCAGATTCTACCCCATTCTCACCCTGTTATTTACTTGTTTGTTTTAGTTTTTAGCTTTTGTTTTTGTTTTACCCGCTTTCTGGTACCATTCTTCTCCAGACTCAAACCTTGTTGTTACGGTCAACTCCTCTCTGCGTCTCAATTCTGCCGACAAACATGTCGAGCTTCTGCGCAAACAGTAACAGCAACAATAACAGTAACAGCAAAAGCCGTCCATACAGAGGTAAGCGGTCAGCTGGTAAGCGAGAAATAAAACGACGTCATACCTCCTGTAGCGCTTGTTTTAAAGACAAAATGCAGCCATACATAGCTCTGGCTACATAATTTACTATCTCCAGAAATGTATTTAGGGCTACACTACTTGTTTTCGCTGACGAAATGAACACTGCCTTCTAGTTTTTTAAAGAATGCTGATTGTATTGCCATTTCTGAACACACTTTAAACAGTACATTATATATCACAGAAATGAGTTCAATTTGAAATCAAACTCATTCTAAATTGCCGTAATATTTAACATTAATACTATTTTAAAGGATGTGTGATCACTTAAATGCAGTCTTTGTGAGCATAAAAAACATTTATGTTGAACCCATATCTTTTGTAAACCCAGACTTTTGAACGGTTGTGTATTTATGTACTGTATGTTCTTCCTCTAACCTCTTCAGGTGCAGTGTTAGGGCGTGATGGTGGTGCCATGAAACAGATGTTGATTCCCTTCTGGCTTGGTCTGGGTGGGACGCTTGGCTCAGGACGACAGCCCTTCCCGTGGATCCATGTTTCAGACCTGGCTGGCATCATTGCCCATGCCTTAGAGCCCCGAGAGGATCCACCTTCAACAGAGCCAGATGTTTTTAATGGAGTCGCGCCTGCATTGAATACCAATTTTGAATTCACTAAAGAATTGGGGAGGGTTTTGAAAAGACCTACTATCTTCCCTGTGCCTGGCTTTTTCTTGGATGTCTGCCTGGGTTCAGAGCGAGCCGTTATCCTCACACAGGGACAGAAAGTGCTGCCCAAGAAGACTCTTGACTCTGGCTTTGAGTTTCAGTACCCAGATCTTACTTCTGCTTTAAAGGAAATCGCTGGATCCCAGTGATCAATCTATAACTGTACAGGATCGGGAATCTTTTATGTATACAAGTGTGATATACTTCTTAAAATGTTAAATTAAGAATATAAATAAACTAAAACTTGCTTGTACATAAAAAGATAAAAACATTTAATTCATTCATTCATTTTTTTTTTGACATAGTCCCTTATTTATCAGGGGTTGACACAGTGAAATGAACCGTCAATAATTCTAGCATATGCTTTACGCAGCAGATGCCCTTTCAGCCACAACCCATTACTGGAAAACACCCATACACACTCATTTACATACACACTTATACACTACAGCCAATTTTGTTTATCTAATTCACTTATCCGCTTGTATGTATATGTATACTGTATGTATACTGTTTCCGGGTCCAAGCCGCCATTCATTTGAGAGGAGAAATTTTTATTCCTATCACACATTAAAGTTAATTTTATATAAAGTCATAGTGTACACAACAATCTCTGGGCTTGCTGCATAACAAATACCAAAAATTTTACAATTTATAAAAACAAATGAATCACTTTCTGGCTATTGGATATTAGGCATGGACCTATATATTGAGATCGTGATTTTCGAAAGCATTAAATCGCTTTGTAAACGTTTATTATTACCATTTCATGAATCTCCCCATTCAGTTGAATAGAGTGCTTGGACCCGGAAGCCGCTTCGCGTGACGTCACACTTAACAAGCGGATAGTGCATGTCTTTGGACTGAGGGAGCAGCTGGAGGAAACCCAAACATTCAAGGGGAGAACTCCACACAGAAATGCCAACTGGCCCAGCTGAGGCTCAAACCAGCGACCTTCTTACTCCGAGGCGACAGTGCTAACCACTGTGCCGTGCCACTTTGAACAAAATGAGTACTGTATTTGTAAATAAAGTCATTATGTAAAAAGTCCAGCTTTGGTGTCTCTGATTATATATACCATTATTAGATAATCTAAAATATGTGTTGTCTGAATAAAGTGGCCACTTTTGGTTTTATCTATATCTGTTTGATCCGTGGGGTTGTCTTCTACATGAGATGGTTATTCAATTTTTGTTTATATTGCGTATACTTTTATTTGAACGCTACATGTGAAGACACTTGACAAAAATGATAATTGTGAATAAAAATGTATGTATTTATTTATTTATTATTTTTTGTATTAGTTCCAAGAAACTGCATGTGTCTCAAACTCAATTTCTGGAGGGCTGCAGCTCTGCATAGTTTTGCTCCAAACCTAATCAAACACATCTGATCCAACTAATCAAGGTGTTGGAGTTAGAGGTGGTTGGAGCTGCGACCCTCCAGGAGTTGAGTTTGAGATCACAACTATAAAGAATACAGTAAAAGAGAGACATTAGATAAACAAAATAAAGAACAAAAAAAAACCATAAAAAAATAATAATGCAATAATAAAAAAGATACATAAAACCCCAAGAAAGAAGCAGAGCAATTCCATGAAAAAACTAGGTTTTCGCAAAAATATTGAAACCATTTTTTGCGTTTTTTGTGGAAGTATTTTACAGTGCTTTAAAATACTCAAACATGTATCTGTTAATGTTTTCAAACTATTATATGTGATTTACCAAAATCACATGAGTGGAAATTTCACATCCGTCACATCCATAACAGCTTTTTTCCCTTATAAATGCAAAAAATGTAAAATAAAATAAAATAAATTGTTTTTGTTCTATAGTGTGTTAACTCTTATCCTTTTGATTCTTTTGGGTTATGCAGTTTAATTCATACTGTATACTGTAAACTCGCTAACTTCTTTGGTCACATCCACATGCTTATTTTCCTCATTTAAAATATAAAAAATGTTTACAGATTGACATTTTGATTGATAGATTGATCCTTTAACTCTATGGCTAGTTGTTTTGGAAAATATAAACAGATGTTTCAATATAGCTGCAGCGCAGTGGGTAGTGCTGTTGCCACACAACAAGAAGGTTGCTGGTTTGAGCCCCAGCTGGGTCAGTTGGCATTTCTGTGGGCAGTTTGCATGTTCTCCCCATGTTGGCGTGAGTTTGCTTTGGGTGCTCCGGTTTTCCCCACAAGGCCAAAGACATGCGCCATAAGTGAAATGGGTAAGCTAAATCAACCAGTGATGGGTTGCAGCTGACAGGGCATCCGCTGTGTGAAACATATGCTGGACAAGTTGGCGGTTCATTCCGCTGTGGCGCCCCCAGATTAAAAAAGGGACTAAGCTAAAGAGAAAATGAATGAATGTTTCAATAAAATGTTACCATAAACATTCTTTGTGAATTTATGGTTTTAGATTTTACTGCAAATGTGCCCTTTCAGCACATTTTTAGGAAAGCTGCAAATATAAGAAAGTTCATAGTAGCTTTTAATGACTTGGTTTTGAAAATAACAAATAACATCCTTAAGGTGTAAATTACAACTAATATCAACCTTGGAAAAGCAACATGAACTTAAATCAATCCAAAACAAAGATGATACACTGCATGAAATAAACAAGTGACAAATGTCTTCCTACTCATTTTTACAAAAGTAAAATATTTGGACAAAAATGTGTTTATATAAGCAATCTGTTCATGAGCGCTACGTCATGTCATTTTAGAGATTGTATTCGATTTTTAAATGACTCTTTCCACGGATAGACAGACAGAATCACCTAAACAAAACACCAAAAGGCACCACAGTATTATTGTCTACAAATTGGCCAAAAGTTTAAAATAATTCGGATGTTATAATGGTTTAAATGCTCACCAAGGCTGCATTATGCATTGTGAATAAGGCAATTATTATTAGAAAATAGGAGACAAAAGGTGCAATCAGGACAGATTTCTGTCTCTTTTTAGATTTACAGCTTCCATTCACAGCCACAAGAAATGAGATCTTACAACACAACATTATTTACAGCATTTAACAAAGAGAACATTTGATTGTTTTACAAAACTACTGTTTTTTACAGTTTAAAAACAGTGCAAAACGTTTCCATATATTTAAGACGCGTATAAGCTAAAAAAGACAATTTTTGCTTCTCTTCCAAACATTTTTTATCCATTTGAAAAATTTGGCTACGTCACGCATCAACTACCCAATCACTGCGTACTCATTTACATAAAAACTTCCCTTAATGTTCGACCACGATTTGTGTACAATGCGTTAAATAACAAAAAACTGAAATAACAGTGTATGAGGACAAATGAGCGGAGTTGACCTGACATGTCTTCTGAGTTTACAATACTAAAATATCTTAACTAGGTCTATCACCATCACTGTGAAGCATGGTACAAGTACAACCTATAAATAGATGACGCAGACTACGTCATAACCCGTAGCGGAAGGAAGCTCACTGTAGAGGTTACCCACTGAGTGCTCGTCACTCGCCAACACCTCGGGGAAGGTCTGAGACAGGAGCCACTCGCTGTCCTAGCAGGACATCATCTGAATGATGAGCGAGTGCACAGAAAATCGGGTCACGCGCGCGATTCTCGCAGCAGACGTTGATACTCGCACACATTCAGCGGATCAACTGATGCGACGCGCGCAGACTTGGAAACACTCGCGGCTGGCGAATGAGTGCGATGTGTGAGCTAGCATAACATGCTAGAACCCAATTCAGACTACTCTCCCTCCGCTCTTTTCACATCATTTACTTCTTAGAAATTTCTTAGATTATTCATATTTTCTCGAACTTTTATCAATTTTCTAATATCTTATTTAGGTTTATACTGCACTTGAAAATGTAATGCTTAAAAATTTAAATATGAAATATGCTTAAAGTCCCAAAGAAATCAAAACCAACCATATGATTTTGTTAGCTCACATTGGCAGTTTTGTGGTGAACAATTCATCTGTGCATGACATTAAGAAAATAAAAATAGTTTGCCCTTCTAATCTTTAATTGAAATCTGAAACTACATTTTTTTTCAGTTAAATTGTCAGATTAGATATATATTAGGTATTGAGCGTGGCTAATATATTAAACCACACATCTCCAGCTCTCAGTTTTGACAACAAACTAAAATGGTGATCATCACAACACAAAAAAAAAAACACAGTTTGCAGCTTCTGGTTCATTGGGACTTTAAAAATAGCCTTTTAACCTCTGTTGGGATAACTTTTTAACATGAAAACAAAAATAACATGAAAACTGACATTTAGATATCATGTTGCATACAAGAACTATTTTATTTGCAAACAAGCAATACATTTATACAAAACAACCTCACTGCACACACGCTGCATGAACAGATTTCTCGCAGGTCTCATTCCGTCTCATCATTAATAGTGTGCTCATCTTCTTTATGAAAGACTGGCAGCAGATCTCCCCAGTCGCTGTTACGAGCACATCTGTACATGTCCCTGTTAAAATAGACAATACAAATTCCTTAAGCCAACTACCAGAATGAACTGCACCTGCATAACCTGTTAGAATCAATACAAGTCAAGGTCATTCACTGAAAATCTAAATAGCAGAGATCTATTATAGGAAAGCGTCCCATACTTTCCATGACGACGGGCCGTCACAGCCAGTTGTTTGAGTTCTCCATTTACGCAGCACAGCTGGCACTGAACGTGTCTGGGTCGGCGATGGACTTGTGCGATCACTCTAGCCATGTCCCAATGTTCAGCCTTCTGAGCCTTCTCTCCATCTGAACGGGATACAATCAGGTAACTAAACCTCTCCTGCTGCCTTTCCTGGCTCTGTGACAGTTGATTCATATAAAGGGATAAAGAAAAGAGGAATGTTATAAAGGCCTAGTTCTCCCAAAAATGTGTATTGATCTTTATGTGACACGAAAAATGTGTCCCATTCTCTCATGAATGCATTTACGTGGAACCTGGTTATGTTTAATAAGATATCAGTGTATCGCCAGGAGCCATAGGTATCGATGTAGTTTGGCCTATATACATTTTTTAATGTTTTGAAGTGAGATTTGGGACATTTGAAACCACATTGCTGGAAAAAGAGCTAGAGCCACTCTTAGACACATGTCAGTTTGCCTATAGGCAGAACAGGAGCACTGAGGATGCCGCTCTTAGCATTATTGTTCATCTTGTGTCCAAGCATCTTGAAAATACTAAAGCTTATGCTCATATTTTATTTGTTGATTTTAGTTCAGCATTTAATACAGTGCAGACACATCTGCTTTTAGAGAAGTCGCATTACATGGCTGTCAGTACTTTCTGAATTATATTGTTTAATTCTTTTTAAAGTAACAGTGCTCAGCAGGTCTGGGTCAATGGGATACTTTCTGAGGTTAGATATAGAAATACAGGAGTGCCACAAGGTTGTGTTTCATCGCCTGTCCTTTTTGCTTTGTACACAAATGATTGCAGAAGCACACATTTTATTATTTATATTATGAAATATGCTGATGATACTGCCATCCTAAGTCTTTTACACAAAGACATGGACCTTTCATACTACCACAGTGAAATCGCTAATTTCGTTCAGTGATGTGACAAGAACTGTCTTGTGTTAAATGTAAAAAAGACACAAGAAATGGTCCTTGACCAATGAAGTGTATCTGAACTTAGGCCTGTGATCATTAAAGACACAGTGATACAGCAAGTTACATCTTACAGATATCTGAGGTTCTATATGGACAGTGTTTTTTTGTTGGAGAACACACACTGACAGCTTGTGCACACAACTACAACAGAGGCTTTATTTTTTAAGAATGCTGATTGTATGGGGTAGGTAGCAATATCTTGTTTATTTTTTACCGAGCTATGTTTGAAAGTCTTATTTGCAATGGAATCACAGTCTGGTTTGGAAATCTTTCTGTTCGATTTAAAAATGAATTGGGTTATATTTAAAAAGCAGCCATGAAAATGATAGGAATGCAACAATATGAGCCCATACAGACTCTATATGATCAGGCGGTCATGAGAAGAGCAATAAATATTAGTGCTGATTCCAAACATCCTCTTTTCAGTGAATATCAGCTGCTATCTTCAGGAAAAAGACTGAGAATGCCAATGCGTAAAACCAATAGATTAACGCTTTCGTTTGTTCCTACCTCGATAAAACTCTACCAAGAACAGAGCACCTGTAGTACGTTAACTGTGTTCTGTGCTTTATATATTATATATTTATATATGGTCTTATTTTGTAAACAATGTATGTTCTTAATTGTTTTTGCTTAATTCTTTTGTTTGTTTTATTTTGTTGTCTGCTTAGAGCAACGTTGTAGCACCTTTTTCCTTTTTTTTGTTTAAACTCGATCCTATCCTATCCTACTTATTTTTTCATAAACTATCATCGTAAAGTGATAGTTCCCCCAAAAATTGTCATCATTTACTCATCTTTTACTTGCTCCAAAACTGTTTGATTAACCAGTGACTTGCATAGTGTTTGTTTCAATGATCAAATGATTCATTGAGTCAATGATTAAAGGCTTTCAGCGCTCTTCAAAATATCGTCATTTGTGTTCAACAGAAGAAAGAAACTCATTTATAACCATTTGAGGGGGAGTAAATGTTAAGTAAACTTTCATTTTTGGGTGAACTATCTCTTTAACTACTGTCTAAATACCTCAAATATGTCCATGCCATGATAACAACTGAACTGAAATTCAGTCATTCGAGGTGATTGTCACAATTCAGAAACTAAATTTGTGGACTTACCCGTGATAGAGGCAGAGAGTAGTAGAACTGGAAGAAGTTACAAGGTACCACAGGTTGCCTGATTAACTTAGGACACTTCAGCTCGTGCGTGCACTGTCCAAATTGAAACCATACAGATGACAATGTCAGCATAAAACATTTTAATATATCTTATTAAAGATGAAAAAATAAGAATAAACTTCAGAAATAAGTTATTTTGATGTTTTAACGCACAGGAGCAAATATAGATGGTCTCCTCGGGTCATGCAGTATCTCATCTTCTCTCTACAATAGAAAAATCAGACACGTTTAGGTACTTCTGAAGGATGCATAGGTTGTATTACTACTATTCAAATGGAAAGTCATGTTTTAACAACAAAAAAATATCAGTTTAACCTTTAGTATAGCATCTCTGGCCTCCATAAGGATTTGATGACCTTCCTTGGTTCCATTCTCCACCAACACCTGTACAAAATACCAAGAACTGCATTAAGAATGATAACAATTACAATAGTTTACACATCATTTAAGTAGAAAAGGGTTTTCCCCCCAGATTTCAATAAACAAATTATTTTAAATAGGTATTTTGCCATAGTATTTTTTTTAATACTAGTAAGCCATAGTAACTGCATATTAACCAAGGGATTGCTTTATGAACCATAGATTAGCCAAAGTATTTGCAATACAACTGTCGTTATAATAATGGGAATGAATTTGTCAGAAAAACAAAACTTTTCCTACAATAAAACTCATATTCATTTTCATAAAATTGTTAACAATATAAACATTTGCAAGACAGTAAAAATAAATCAATAACTTCAGCATCATCACTCACAAGGTAGGAGTTGGTTTTTCTCCAAAGTGTTGAAATAACATTCAGTCGCTCGTCCAGGGTGGCCAGTTCTGACAAAGAGAAAGCGGCTACTACAAGATCAAACTGGACCTGTTAAAAGAGAAGACTTCAGTTTATTCAGTTTAATGTCATTTAGACAGATCATGAAATTCATGATAGCAGGCGAAGTTACCTTAGGAGAAACAGGGAGGAACTGGCGGAAATATACTTGTTTGATAGTTGGATTATTCCTCTCACTGCCCTCTGTTCGGTACAAACAAACATTTATATATGTAGATCCTTAATCAAACACTGTTTTTCTGGTTCTGCTGAATTATCCAACATAGGCATTCTGAGAATGTAACTCTATATACATTTTTGGAAATCGCAAATTACGTAGCCAGAAGTATGTATGGGGGACAAGGGTGTTAGAGTTTGGCAAAGCGGGTAAGACAAAAACAGAAGTCAAAAAATAAAATAAACAAGTAACAAGGCGAGAATGTGATAAAAATCAGACGAGGGCTTTTTCTGGATTGCTTTGTAAAACTGTTGGTTGGGTTTAGGAAAGTGGGTGGGCGGGTCAATCTGTGTTTTTGAAAACACTATTGGTTTAGGGAAGAAGGAGGGTGGGTCAGTCGATCGGTCAGTCACTCAGTTGACAGCGGCCTCTGGTGGATTTATGCGAGAACAGCAGGCACAAGTGACACGCGAGAGAGAGAGAGATTTGAGACCTCAAAAAATGTACACAACGGCCTCTTGTGGATTCGCGAAAACCAAAAACTGCAAAAAAAAAAAAAAAACTGCAAAAAAATAAAAAATAAAAAAATATAAAAAAACGCTTCATGGACATATTTGGCTCTCTCCAGAAATGTGTATAGCGGGACGTTTTCAGAAAGAGCCTGGGTTGGTCTTACCCAAAAGAAGCTGTTCTGCCAATGTGTTCATATCTCCAGAGCTGTCCACACAAACATACTCCTTCAGAGAATCTCCCCAGAGCCTGTGTGCTGCCCTGAATTAAATGATAAAATACAGGATAAATTAGGGTCATTATTACTACAATAGACATTAATGGGGACAAATGCTTCCAAATAATTGAAAGTGGCAAAATGTGGTCATTAAAATAAAGATTTAAAAGGTATGTTGTAGGATGGTCTGCCTTTTAACAGTGTTTGTCAAAATGATTGAGATGACAATCATATTTAATTAGGCAGAGTTTATTACTTATAAAATTCAGACAAGCAAGCTACTCAATTTTTTCCCTTTATTTCACCAAATTTAATTTAAAATATGCTACTATTTACATGATTTAAGAGACAAGAAATGTTTAGCATTTTACCATACTCAGTATACGAATAAAAGTGAATATGTGCATATTTTAATAAATATTATTAATAACCCGTAAAAAATGATTACTTCCTAACTAGCACTAGATCTATATTTGTCTTAATTCTTTTATTTTGTATTTTAATAAACAAACAAAAACACTTTGCAGTAAAGTTGCATTAATTAGTGTTAATGTGTTACTAACAGAACGAACCAATAAGCAATATATATTTATCACAGACTTTTTGTTAATGTCAGTTAATGGAAATAAAGTTAGTTCATGTTAACTCACAGTGCAATAACTACTGTTTACAAACCTGTTTTTGGATTAATGTATTAATATGTTGAACTATGCTGATTGATAAATGCTGTACATGTATTGTTTAATATTACTTTATGTTAGTAAATACATTAACTAATGAAACCTTATTATAAACTGTGACCAAACAAACTTACAGCCTTGGTATATATATATAAAATCACAAATCCCACAACATGTATCTTTCATAGTTTCATACTACTACCATTAAATATTTCAATCAATATCATTATATTTATAAGCCCCTTTATAATATGTGATGGAAATTTGTAATATTGATGATTGACAATTATATAATGATATTAATTGAGTCAGGTTTTGCTAAAGTAAAGATCAAATGCATTATAATCACTGGGCTATTACAGCTATATATAATATACTGGTTGTTAAAGGGTTAAGAAGCTGTAGAGGAATTTATATCTAAAATATTGTATTATTGTCTTTAAAAATGCCTGTGAGACCATCCTTGAGATCCTTTTGCTCACAGAGGCTGTCTGTTTGTAAACTGACCATTTTCTTGAGAATTAATTCAATTAATGCAACTTTATTCAATATCCGTCTTCACAATAAATTTATTCCTTGTAAAAAGAAAGAAAATAATTTTCCATTGCAAATACTAAAAATATTCATAATCAAACTCACCAAGTACCTGTTCCAAGTCCTGATCCAAAGTCCAAGAGAGAATATGGCACAAATAAGGGATCTCTCTTCTTAATCTAAGATGCATATCAGACAGACATCAGAAAAAAACATGCAGTAGTGATACATGGTGAAATTGTGTTAATGCACTGTACGTATTAAATACCTCATTTAGAGCTCTGAGAACAGCAGCATAACCACCTGCTAGTCTAGCAACCATATACACCAACCCAAGATCTTCATTGTACCTTGAAACACGCAAGCACACTAGAGAAATCAATCCTTAATCATCCAATAAAACAGTGTTGCTTAACCACGTTCCTGAAGGACCACCAACACTACATGTTTTGTATGTCCATTGTCTCTAACACCTATTACAGGTCTTTCAGTCTCTGCTAATGAGCTGATGATCTGAATCAGTTGTGTTTGGTTAAGGAGACGAAAAATGTGCAGAGCTGGTGGTCCTCCAGGAAAGTGGTAGAGAAACACTGCAATAAAACACACAAGCACTCCATTCTGTGAAAACATATGATTGTGTACCTTAGGGCAGCTCTGTGGTATGTCGTTCTTCTCAATTCAGATAATACTTTCTTTCTTATCCGAGCTTCTAAATTGTGGTCAATGTCATCTGAAGGGAATATTTAAGCACTGTTTAAAGGAACGCTCCACCTTTTTTTTTTTTTGGAAATAAGCACATTTTATAATTAACCTAGAGTTAAATATTCAAGTTTTACCCTTTTTGAATTCATTCAGCCAATCTACATGTCTGGCGGGAGCCCTTTTAGTATTTAAGTGTAGCTTAGCTTAGCATAAATCATTCAGTCGGATAAGACCATTAGCATCTTGCTAAAAAAAATCACAGGGGTTATTTTCCTATTTAAAGCTTAAATATTCTGTAGTAACCTAGATGGGAACTTGTTTAGGTGCTGCATAATATTATTGATCCTGCAGCAAAGTTCCTTGATTATAATGCTGGAATACTTTTTTTCTGTCAGTCTTAGAACACAATGTAACTACAGAAGAGTCAAGCTTTAAATAGAAAATTTATCAAATTTATCATTTTTTTTAATTTTTGTGCAAGATGCCAATGGTCTAATCTGATTCAATGACTTATGCTAAGCTAAATATGCTCCCAATATACCTGGAGTTCAGCTGAATGGATTTAAAAATGGTAAAGCTGTCAATCTCTAGGAGACTTGTAAAAATGAGCCTATTTCCAAAAATAAATGCAGTGTTCCTTTAAACCACAGTGTTGACATTTCTCCATTTTGTCTTTTATCAATAACTCACTTTCACTGACATTTCTCTCTTCCTCCAAAAATTTCCTCTCCAGAATGATGGCTTTCTCCCTGAGCTGTGAAGATTCTATCACCCGCTTCCTGCTCCAAAGGAAGTTAGAGAGTTTTTGTGCCCTTTCCGTCAGACTTTTTACATCGGCCCCTACATATCAAATAAAAAGCATATAAAACACACTACTTTAGCATGTCAATTCAGAAAACATAATCTTTAATACTGAGGCTGGCAGATCATTGGTTCCTCACTCTGTAAGATGGACTGTGCTGCTAGCTGCAGTTGCTCTGGCAGTTGCACTGTTTTCAGGTTTGTAACACCCGGGTGTTTTCTGTGAGGAGCGCCATTCAGGTAGTCGGCCTGTTCCAGAGGTGCTGCGGAACTCTGACACTTTCAAGACAATGAGAAGCACATTTGACTTATTCAGTATCACATAATTCTGATAATTTTTTTTGAATAATGGTTAGTGGTTGAAGGGTATCTTTTTGGCAGAATTACAGCCAGGTAGTTCTGGCTATAGCATTTGTTGTTCCTTATATGGAAGTTAATGGGTACCGGGTTTCAACATTCTTCAAATTATCTTTTTTGTGTTAAATAAGAAACAAGGATGAGTATATACATTTTATATATTAAATACATTTTATGATTCTGTTATATTGCTACTATGTGCAGTCTAATAAAATGCAAGGCATATTAAGCATCTTTGGTGTTTTTCTATAGGTGAAGTTTTTTCCTTGCTGCTGTCGCCACTGGCTTGCATGGTTCGGGACCTGTGGAGTTGGGCATCGATGGATTTGCTCTTCAGTGTTTGAACTCTCAGCAGTGAAAATTAAACCACACTGAACTGAACTAAACTAAACTTCAACAATGAAAACTGGACTGACACTGTTTCAATTCACTAGAAAGCTGCTTTGACACAATCTACACTGTAAAAGCGCTATAGAAATAAAGATGAATTGAGTTAAATTATAAAACGACTGAAAATCGAGGGTGAATGATGTCATTAGCATGTGTCACTAGTTAAAATTGCTTATTTTTAGAATGAGTTGAACATTCCTCAAAACACTGGAAATACTGTAAGTGTAAAAGTCAGCAAAAAATATAACACTTTTCTAGTGAAATTAAATAAAGATCTTACATATTTTGTCATTAAAGATTATTAGTATCATTTGTAAAGAAATATGGTTTTATTCATACTTTCATTAGTTTTCATTTTACTATAAATTTTATGTAAAGTTTTAACTTTACATAAAAAAACTTTTCACTACAACTGCTCTTTTAGGAAAAGAGCAATAGCAGTGCTTAAATTAGTGTTTCTAACTGCTTTAAAGAAAGTGCTTTTATAGATATGCCTGCCATTATCTTTTTTTATCATGCAAGGAAGAAAATTTACAAAGATACAATATGAACAAAGAGACAAAAACGGTTACATAAATAAAATTCCAGCAAATTAAGCAAGTTAAAATGATTTACACTAAGAGTTTTACTGGCAATATAATTATTAGAGTATTTCACAGAGTTTACAAATAAATCCTTTCTAAAATTAAACAGGGTGTTTCTTAGAAAATGTAAATTTGTGGATGTAAAATTTTGCCAAAAAAAATAAATAAATCATGAGATAATAAATAATACATTTACAATAAGAGGGATCTAAGTTCAGAGAGTAGGAATAGAAAGAATACTAGAATACTAGAAATACTAGAAATATTTTTGGGGAAATATAAAAGTTTTGAAATAAGAATTTCTTTTGATGTAATTGGAAGTCAACCCAAAACACTTTACAGTAAATCCACTCCCAAAATAAATGACTTAGTGTTTCATCATATTGAGTACAAAATGAGTATGTATGGGAAATATTGTTATTAAATTTGACAAATTTGGTATTTATTGGGTAGCAATTATGCCTGGCATTTATCATCAAGTAGCCAGGCCACATTCATTACCAATCACAAATTTAACCAATCACTGCAGAGCAATGAACACATTCTCGTTCTCAAAACATTTGATAGTGTTTAAACCATTCATACAATACATTTAGTTGACAAAAAACATTTTCTCAGGTAATAATTAAGGTCACACAAATATATTAATTACAAATGATTAACAAACTAAATAAATTATTAGTATATTTCTCACCATCATCGAAACGAATAGCCCTGATCACGCCCTATATATATCAGACTATCCTCACTTGAATCTTCAGCGAAAGGAAGCTCACTGTAGAGGTCACTTACTGAGTGCTCGTCACTCGCCAACACCTCGGGGAAGGTCTGAGACAGGAGCTCCTCGCTGACCTAGCAGGACATCATCTGAATGATGAGCGAGTGCACAGAAAATCGGGTCACGCGCGCGACTCTCGCAGCAGACGTTGATGCTCGCACACATTCAGCGGATCAACTGAATGACGCGCGCAGACTTGGAAACACTCGCGGCTGGCGAATGAGTGCGATGTGTGAGCTAGCATAACATGCTAGAACCCAATTCAGACTACTCTCCCTCCGCTCTTTTCACATCATTTATTACTAAGAATGACATGGAAGTTTGACTGACATATTACTCACCCGGATCGCTTCTTTCAAAGACAAAGCCACATGGCACCTTGAACATTTCACAAACACTCGACTTCCCAGTAAATGCATGCTTTATTCTCGTTTATTAAAACCTGCGTACAAATGAAATTCTACTTTAAAGACAACACAACATGGTAACATCGGTGTACGGACGCATGCTCAAGCAGTCGTTTTACCGACTTCAAAATAAATCCGTGTAGAAACAAATCGGTCAATTCGTTCCTAGACAGGAGTCCGCTCTGTTATACTTTTCGCGCCATTTAAAACGCCCCAGTTGTGCTCTGTGATCTGAGGTAAGTGTTGAAAACTATTTTAATCTTATCATTATTTACATTTTAGCGGGATAAAGCGTAATGTTATCCTATATTTTGTTCTCCGAAACGTGTTTTGCCGCAAGACTCCGGGCTAACGTTAACTTACGTTATTAGGAAGTGAATACATCACTATGGTGACTCATGTCATAATTCACCACCTCCTAACTACATAACTAGGAATTTTACGTCACACCCATACCTTCACTGCTAACGTGTGATACACCGGAAACGTTTCCTCTTTTGACGTTTTCTCCTAATTTTAGCTGTTTTCCGGGAACATGCGACGAACAAGGAGTTGCAGGGACAAGTCTGTGGCAGATTCAGGCAGTGAAGCTTCAGAGGCGAAGACGGGTATGAATTCGCTTTCTCTGAACATGCCAAAACAACCCAAAGTTACACAATCAGCATTTTAAGACTTTTTGTCATACACTGAAGCTCTGCACATTTACATTGACTGCTTTTCCAAGTAAATATATATATATATATAAATGTACACCACAGCCACCCCAGCATGACTGTTTTAACCATTAAATCACTTTGAGTTTATAGATGTGACAGTCCCCTGGAAGAATTTTAATATGTAGAATCATTGACTGTGTGTTTTGTTTGTTTTTTGTGTGTTTTTTTGTTTGTTTGTTTATCAAGAAACCTATTTGTATATTAAGTAGTGAATATGTATTACCGATGTTGCCATGAATATAGCCAGTGTTGCTGATAAGCCATTAAAACATTAATAAATAATATGTTTGCACTGTTTTCATTTCAGATTTGCATATTTTTACATTATGAATGATTATGAACTATGAATGTTTTTAGTTTGGCAGTGGAAAGGGGATGAAGATGAATGGGAACCGTATCCTTCAGAGGTCTGCGAACAGCTGGATGCAGCAAAGCAGGCTGGTGAAAAGTCTGTTTCGCTTGCGCTCGGACCTGGTTACGTAGTGGATCTTGTGAAAATGACTCAGACTAATACTGTCAGCAAGTACAAACGAAAAATACGCCTTCAGAAAGTGAAGTCAGGTACGTCTGCGTGCTTCTGTATGTGACTGAATAAGCCTCTGGGTCAGGAAACTAACAGCAGCTGATTTGTTTTATTGCAGAAGATCTGAATGAAGGGAATGCTTTGAATGGTAATAAAAAAGCAACAGGTGTTGTTCAGATTAAAGAAGAAAAAGAGGAGGAAGAGGAGCAGCCCGTTTCCAAGAAGAGACGCAATGAAGGGAGGAGTCAGAAAGCGAACAAAGACAAACCTGTGGTAAAAGAAGAATGTGAAGGTGATGCTTCCCTCGAATTAATTTTAGCAATCTCTCTTCTTCAGTCAAAATGAAAGTATGCCCCTTAAACAGGGTTCCCAGAGGTCATGAAATTTCTGCAATGTCAGGGATTTTTAAAAGGTTCATTCCAGACATTGAAAATCAGGGAATGATCTATATTTTAGTCCAAACTGAATATTACAAAGTTGACTTATCACACACCAGATGAGTACTTTCTATATGTGAATATAATGAATTGTTTAACAGAAAACAGTGAATAGTGTCTTGGCAAAAAACAATCTGAGGTAATGGGCTCCATGCACAGGTAGAGCTTTACAGCCAACAATAATCTTTAATGTTTTTTCAATTTCACAAGGTTGTTTTTACAGCATCGATGTTGTAATGTAATTACAATACATTCAGTTAAATAGACTTCAGCATTCACTAAGTTGTTCAAGCATAAAACCAGATGAAAGACCGTGCAACCACTAGCACCGTCAGTACCAACAGGCTAGCGCAGAAATTCCATTGAATATACTGGGGTTAAATAAACTCATATTTTAATGACGGGGGAAATGGAATTTAATGCAGCGCTTCTTGTCCGATCTGAGACCTACTTCATATCGTATATAACAGGCAGCGACGATCGCTGATTTGTAAAGAAATCAAACGTTAAATGTGACAATTTTGCAATGGAAAGACAGTTCACTGGACGCCCTTGAACTACCTGGTTGAAAATTAAAAGACTGTGTGCATATAGACCATTTTAACAAATAGCAAGCTTTTTCTAAATTTTGCACTGTTTTCTTGATTTTTGGATTAATTTCTCCTCAGCTGCCTGTATTTATATTTATTATAGGTGATGAAAAATTCCGCTTTTCAATCAGGGAATCTGACATTGGGCTTAATGTGGGAACCCTGCTTTTTTCTCATAGTGAAATTGTCATGTTTAAAAATGCATCACATTATGTCACATGTGCTTTAGACTGACTTTAACCATTGTTTCTTTCTCATGCTTTCATGAAAAAGTTGTGAAGACACTGGTTATGAAGGGCAAAGCCCCTGTTGATCCAGAATGCAAGGCTAAATTGGGAAAGGTAATTGCCTTAAATGTCTTATTTGGTCACAAAGTCTTAATTGCTGTAAAATATTTGCCTTTAAAAAACTGCCATTTTCATGTTCTAAGACTTTATTTCCATTTCTTGACTTAATTTGCTTTTGTTATCCACAGGCACATGTCTACAACGAGGGTGCTGATGTGTATGATGTTATGCTTAATCAGGTAAATAATGAAGACTTTACATTACTGTTCAAAAGTTTAGAATTCTTAAGATTATGAGTTTTTTGAACAATTTATACACAAAAAGGCTGCATTTATACAATAAAAATAAAGCAAAAACATCAATAATTTGACATTTTAATTCAGTTAAAAGTGCTTTAATTTTTGATGTCTTTAAAATGTAGTATATATCTCTGATCTAAGTCTGAATTTTAAGCAGTCAAACTATATAAACTCTTTTTTTTTAGAAATCAACATTTTTTGTGTTTCTTATTATTTTCTGTTTTAAATTTAGTTTGTTTTGATCTAATAAATGCAACCTAGGTGAATCAGAGAAGCATTCTGCTAGTTGTTCTGACTGTAAAAACAACAACTCTGAAAATATGTCTGTATCCATCTGTTCCTGCTGATCTTTTTTGGAGGCTCCATTTAATGGATATTATTTGTTTGGAATACACCACTGCCAAAATAAATGGTGCCAATAAGAAAACTGTACAATTCTGGTTAAATATAAGAGAGACTGTATCAGATATGTTTCATACCTGATTTTGTACCTATTTTTGCAGTATTAATGTTTTTATTTTCATTTTGTTTTTTTGTTGGGTGGATCTTAGGCTTTGTTGTTTATATAGTTCAAAATCAATGTTAAATAAAAAAAAAAATTCCATCAGTTTTGAAAACGAAATACTTCTTAGGCTATTGTATATTATCAGGGATTATTTGATAAATTCTAAATGGCAGCTTTTATTTGCATGTCTTCAGCATCACAGCAAACCTATGAATGAGAGTTTACAATATAAAAATATGTGCAAAATAATATTGCACTGTGTGATGTTTTTTTTTTCTTCATATGTTTATAACATTCGTTACAGACTAATCTCCAGTTCAACAATAACAAATATTATCTGATCCAACTTCTTGAAGATGACAGTGCAAAAGCCTACAGTGTGTGGTTGAGGTGGGGACGAGGTATGTGCAGAAACAAGACTGACACTCATTATCATGACTTTTTATTATCCATGTTCTTGTTATTGTTTTCCTTAAGTGGGCAAAGTAGGACAGAACAATCTGGTTAGCTGTGGGGCAAATCTAGCTCAGGCCAAAGACACCTTCAAAAAGAAGTACGCTTACCTTTGTTTTTATATATATATATTAATTATTTCCTCATATTATATACAAGTAGAAGAACTGATTTTAAAGTGCTTGCATCAGATTTTTTGACAAGACCAAGAACGAGTGGGAGCATCGAGCAAGTTTTGAGAAAGTTGCAGGAAAATATGACATGGTATTTATGGACTACAGCACTGAAGACAAGGTATGAATTCCCAATAACATATGATCCATTGCTCTGTGTTGCATTTATGTTTGATTTATCTCATTACCAGAAGTAATTGTTTCGTTCAACAGGGAGAGGAGAAAGCTGTGGTTCCCTCTGCTACTCAAAAAAAGCCTTGCCAACTGAACAGCAAGGTCCAGTCTCTCCTAGAGCTCATTTGTGATCTCAAAGCCATGGAGGAGTGTGTGCTGGAGATGAAGTTTGACACCAAAAAAGCCCCACTCGGTGTGTGTTCCTCTGTATACAAAAATCAACAAATCCTTCACATTCTTTATCATGATGTTTAAGACAAACAACAGAAATATTTAAAAATAAAATAAATTGCTAATGAAATTGATGATCTGATTTTATTATTCCTGCAGGAAAACTAACAGCAGAGCAAATTCGTGCTGGCTATGCCTCACTGAAAAGAATTGAGGAGTGTTTAAAGAAGAAAGGGAGTAACAAGGAGCTTTTGGATGCATGCAACCAGTTTTACACCCGCATCCCTCATGATTTTGGGTAAGGTGCACTATTGATCGAAAGCCTGGGGGCACAAGTAAATAGCTTTATTCACCAAGTACACATTAATACATCAAACACTTTATTCTATGGATGCTTAGAAGATTGGTCTCGGCCGATAATCACATTTAATGACTCGATCGGTACTCGCCAATCGCCGATTTCAGATGTTTGTTTATGAGTTTACAAGCAGAAGAAGACGCACGTGTGCTCCTATATATTATACATAGCATACAGCAGCCACAACACGTGAGGAGGTAAATAATGTGTCATCTTTTTTAGCTTTACGTTTGTTAGGTTAAATGAATAGAGCAGTAAAAATATCGCAAGTGCAAATCCCCCTCTCTGTCATAGAGCTATTGAGCTGCTGTGAGACTCTCCGGAAATTCTGTCAGTAGTTGGAGATGAGCAAAATATTTGAACAGTCCTACGTGTATTAAAGCCTTTTTACATATAACAAGTGAAAGGTCTGTGTTTTTGACAATATTACAGGTTCAT